CAGAGATCATCGCAGCAGCCGACACGCCGGGCCCCTGCAACAACTCTAAGGGTATGCCAGAGCCTACCTCACCGATATGCTGAGACTCTGCGGAGGCCTTCAAGACCGGACCCAGCAAGAAACAAACAATGCATCAAAGGGTCAAAGAGACTCATTACCCTCCGTACGTGTGGGTCCAACTTTGCAGGACCGGAGGAGCAAGGTATGCCACCATATGTTACGCTCCTATACCGCCCCAACCTGCTACACAGGCCCAAGCAAGGGCCATCAGGCCACACTTCGGCAACTGCAACATGAATTCCATGTGCCCCACCAAGGTCACATGCACACGGCATAAGGTCCATACGCACCTCAGCCCATGGGCCACCGAACTGGAGTCGATCCCGCTTGCAGGGCTCAACCCCTCGTCCACCGCAGGCTCTCTCACAGGCCTGGGGCCAGAAGTGTACCATACACAAGCATGGAACTGCTGTATATTGCCCAAGTCTCCCTTGCCGCATGACAGCTTTATACTCCATACAGCATGAACCTGCGAATGGGACATTTAGCCTCTATGAACTATCGGTGTGCACCATTAGCTTGCCAATCAGCAGTGTTAGCTGAGCGTGTATTGTATACTATGTGCTTACATATGCCCTGAGTCCCCTCTGAGCTTAATAACCATTTGCCATACTAAACATGTTTACTTTACGTTCATTATAATATAACGCAGAGGTATAAATGTCTTGCATATATCTCAAATCAAAATAAGTGTTGCTACTTTTTGCCTTTTACTCGTATAGCATAACACATACCTCTTGTCCCGCTAGCGAGACAAGTAGCACGTAAATGCTTTTGCCATAGACATAACTTGATGCCAAATGTTTTTGGTTGTTACTTGTTTATATGTCTTACCATATTCTTATTTTTATTTTATTTTTATTAAATCCAGCACAGCAACACGTAATTTGACATTTATACTAGACATATCTGCATAGCATGACTTACTCAATAATTTTTTTTTAAAAAACGAGTGATACACCAAGGGATCAAAGACGTAACTGGGACAGACATCCCTTTCCAGCCGTTGCCGATGCTACTGAACCACACGAGCATGCCAATTACCACCTACAAAAGGGGCCTCGTGATACACCTTCTTACGGCAGCAAAATCTCTCATCCCCACGATGTGGAGAAGCCAGGTAGCCCCTTCATTTCGCCAATGGATAGATAGGGTGGAAATGATCTACAACATGGAATTGATGACTGCATCTCTGCAGGGACGCTCGAATAAATGTGCTCTAACATGGTTTCCATGGATGGAGTATACGGCCAGGGGGGCCGCGGGGGATGCCCGGTCCGGGGATGGTGGTGCCACCGCACCGGCACAACTTTTCCTATCCCCAACGGACTGACAGATGCTTGTAGTACTTACCAGCTGGGGGGGTGCAC